AGACCAGGAAATCGCAGCTTCTAGCGCGTGTGAGGTGCCGGTTGAGGGTTTGGTCGTGACAGAAACAAACAAAGAGCATAGAAGAAAGCAGCGTCGCAAAGACAACAAGCGTCGCAAGTGGGAGGCCATGAAGAAGACCCGTCTTGTTGAGAAGGGGCAGAAGAAGCTTCCGCGTGGTGAGTTGTCCATGGTTGTGATGATGCGTGACATGGTTGAGTTCTACAACACACAGGCCCAGGTCAATAAAGGCAAGATAGCAAAACGCTTTGAGGCACTGGCCGTCGAGGTGATGAAGGAGCTCGAGAGTTTTGAACAACCACGAATGCAGACTGACCCAACCTGTTTGACTGCGAGCGGTGAAGCAGCGTTCAAGGCAGACTGGCCTCAAGGGCCGTGGCATGCTCATTGAGTTGTGCACCGAGCCGGACTCCAACCTAGGTGTTGTTGGTGAGAGGTTGAACGTCAAGGTCACACGTTGTACCAAGGAGGTGAACAATTTAGGGTATGAGAGTACCACGATACACCTGAAGAGCTTCATTCGTGAACACCCAGGTATTGATTTGTGGGCTAGCCTTCCCTGTGGACCGTGGAGCCAATGGCAATACCTCAATGCACACCGCGACGGGGCAGAGTTCAGAAAGAAGTTGGCCAAGTCGAGAGACTTGTCGTTGAAGCTGCTTGATCGCTTTTGCGAGCTTGCTAGATGTGTTGTTGAGCATGGTGGAGATGTTCATTTTGAATGGCCCAGACATGCATTGGGTTGGAAGCAGGCTGCATTGTGCCAGCTCATTCGAGACATTGGCATGACAGTGGTGAATTTTGATGGTTGTGCGGTTGGACTTGTTGATCGGCAGGGCACACCGTTCCTCAAGAAATGGCGAGTGGCAACAACAAATGAGAACCTCGCAAAGAACCTGAACGAGTGTCGTTGCAAGCATGGTACTGATTTCAAACATGCACCCATCACAGGTTCCAATACATGCACGACTGCAAGATACCCAGAGATCATGTGTGAGATCGTCCTCTCTTCTTTGTTTCCTGACCTTGTTTTCAAGGAGGTGCCCGCCATGCCCGTTTGTGAGGCAGCTGTTTGCGTGGTTGCACAGGAGCATGTCGAGAAGGAGCCAAAGGAACAGGTCTACCGTGGACCGTTGGTCATTGAAACCGTTGATACCTTTGCAACTCCCGCCGAGCTTGAGGATGACCTTGCTCCTGCGGACGACGAAGCTGAATTTGCAGAGTCGAGAGATGATAGGTTGAAGCGAGAGGCAAAGAGCCTAGACCACATCACGACCCACGCGAAGAAGAATCCTTTTTGTGAACATTGCGTGCGTGGTCGAATGTTGAAAAGATATGCCCACGGGGTTCGACCTGAGCCTAGTGATGAAGCCTACGAGCGCTCGGCCGCTTTTGGCCGTGTGCTCGAAGCCGACCACATGTTTCCGTCGGAAGAGAGCGTGAGCAGCGCTGGGGAGAAGGTGGCTCTGGTGATCGTTGACCTCTTCTCCGGTCTGAGCATGGCCTATCCGGCCAGAGACAGGTCAGAAGAATCCTGTTACAACTCATTGAAACACTTCGGTGGCCATAGGTTGAACGGTGATACCGGTGTCATTTTTAAATCAGATGCAGCCGGTGAGTTGACCGGAGCGGCATCCAGGCTGTGCTGGACAATATCCCCGAGCATCCCCAGGGATTGGCCTCACGCGGCCCACGTCGAACGTGAGGTGAGGACGTTGAAAGAGTTGTGCAGACCAGCACATCTCCAGGCCGGCTTCAGCAAGAAGATGTGGCCGATCTCCGTTGTTTACACTGCAAAAGCTCGTGCCTTTTGGTCGCCTTGTGTGATTCGCAAGCATGAGCGTGGGACGGAGATTGAGGAGCTCAAGACTGGCAAGACCCGTTGGGAGGTTTGCGCAGGTGAGCCCTTTCTTGGAGTGAAGTACCCCCTTGGTGCACTTGTTTTCTACAGGGCCAAGAGCGATGGAATGGCCGCTCCAACTACAAGACCAGGCTTGTTTGCAGGATGGCGTGTTGACTCAGGATTGCGATACCGCAATGTCGTACAAGTTGTTGACTATGAAGCTGTCCGTGCAAGAGCGCATTTGCATTGGAGTCCCAAGGACTTGCATGAGAAGGAGGTGTTTTTCCCTCCTGTTGAGCACGTTGAATTTCCCTTGTCCAACGCGGCAATGAAGGCGTTGAAGGAAATGTCTGACCCTGATGTTGAGGTGAAGAAGAAGATCTATGACAGATCTCTTGAGTCGGGCGTGCTCCCATATGACATTGACATTGATGCTTTTCCGGAAGATACCCCAGTTGCACCCCCACGTCATGCATACATTACTTTTTCACGTTTGTTGGAGCATGGTTTTACGAAGGGTTGCCCTGGATGTGATGGTGGCCACTACCGCCACAACAAGGCATGTCGCGAGCGATTTGATGCCATCTTCCCTAGAGAAGCTGCAGCGCCGCCTACACCGGCGCCAGATGTCGGAGCACCGAAGACACCTGGACCGCTTCCAATGCCTAAGAGTTCAGAGAAAACATCTTCTTCCTCTACCACAGGAGCAGCAGAAAAGGAACATTGGGTTGAGCCGGAGGCCACTGAAGGTCCCGAGTACTCTCCTGATGAACTTCCCGAGGGGTATGTCCCACCGGAAGACGTTGCGGCTGGGGTGTATGCCCTGGTGACGAGACAGCTCACCCGGAACGAAGTGTTGTCCCGACCTGATGCACTGCAGGCGATCCGCAAGGAGTTCGATGGTGTTGGTTCCATGGGAATCATGGGAACATGGGAGCTTGAGTCGGTTGATGAAGAGTTCCGCGTGAAGGAGGCTGCATTGCAGAGTGGAGAGACTATTCACATTGCAGACTTGCTTGCTATTTGCAGCGAAAAGCACGTTGAGTTGGCTCCAGAGCTTCGTGCTCTGAAAGGTCGCGTGTGCTATCGTGGCGATTCTGCAAAGACGGCTGAAGGAAAGCTAGCACTTTACCAGACGTTAGCTGCGTCTCCTGCGTCGATAGTTGCAGCCAATAGCGTTATCTCTTTTGGTCTTTTTGAGGGACACAAGTTGTCGTCGGCAGACGCCGTCAAGGCGTATCTCCAATCGGAGTTGAAAAGTTTGGCTGCCACATACATCCGTCTCCCAAGAGAGTTGTGGCCTGAGTCTTGGTTCACCCCAAGCGGCTACCCTCGCTTCCAAAGACCAATCATTAGATTGCGCAAATCGCTATACGGACACCCAGAAGCTGGGGCCCATTGGCAACAGTTTCTTGAAGAACAGTTGTGTCTCTTAGGAGCAGTCAAGGTTGAAGAGTTTGCATCCACCTTCACCATCCCTACCTTCGGAGGATTGGCATTGGTTGTCTACGTGGACGACTTGATTCTCTCAGGACCAAGTCAATGGCACGAGCCTTTCTGGGAGGCGTTGGGTGAAAAGGTGTTGACAGTGTTGATTGATGACATTGGACCGTTGGGTTGCTTCCTTGGTCGACACCACTCCACTGTCGAAGTAGATAACACAGAGTTCTTTGGCTTTGACATGCGTGCTTACGCTGAGGCTACTGTTCAAGAGTATTTGAGGGTTGCAAACAGCCCAAAGATGAAAGTGGTCGCATCACCGTTTCTCAGCAAGGGGTTCGTTGGAGCAGATGAGCGTGGTGCTCTGGCATCTTCAGCCAGCAGCATTCTGATGAGACTGATGTGGTTGGCACGCCTTGCTCGTCCCGACCTGCTGAGAGTTGTGACTTGGTTGGCAACCATGGTACAGTCCTGGACGCAAGCTTGTGATGCGTACCCGTACCGTGCCATGTGCTACCTCGAGTGCACCAAGAACGCTATGTTGCTTGGGCATGTGCGTGATGCGCCAGAGCATGTGTTTGTTGAGCTTTTCGCAGACGCAGACTACTGCGGAGACGATGAACACACCCACAGTACCACTGGTGGATGGCTACAGTTGTCTGGCCCGCGGACATCGTTTCCTCTGGCATGGCTGTCGAAGAAACAGACGGCTACGTGCCGAAGCACGACGGAGGCAGAGACTGTCGCACTGTCGTATGTACTCTTTGAAGAGGGTTTGCCATTGGTTGAGTTGTATTCCGCAATGCTTGGGCGTCCTGTGTTGTTGAGGCTTCGCGAAGACAACACTGCATGCGCGAAAGTCGTGACTGCTGGATACTCCAAGAAGCTGAGGCATCTCAAGCGCGTACATCGCGTGAGTTTGGCTTCGGTGAAGGAACAGTTGGATCGCGATGACGTGGAACTGAGCCTTGTCGGAACAAGCGACCAGAAAGCCGATGCTTTCACAAAAGCAGTTGAGCCTGCACTATGGCCCAAAACCCTCCAAAACCTTGGAGTGCACCTTGATGGGTACACCATCAAACACACCTCAGGCACTGGCCTGAAGCTGGACAAGCAGATGGCATTGCAGCCAGATGCACCAACGACAGACGTAGCGACAGGACCTCAGGGCACGACAGGCCCTACCCAGCCAGGGTACAAGAAACGGCAGAAACACAAGCCGAAGAGGATACCTCCATACAGTGTGCCACAGAACCTTTCCGAAACAGCTGGATAGCCCGGGATTCAGAACTGATCCCAAGCCGTCGAGCAGCTCAGGAGTCAGAGGGGGGAGAAGAAATCCCTCAGCTAGAAACGTCCCCAAGAAGTACTGAGCTTGAGTGAGATTGAGGTTGCACACTTCATGTATAGATGACACGTCATGTATAGTTGGTGTCTAGGAATTGTCATGTAAAGACTTGCATCATCGGTAATCGGCTTTGCCGTTGCACTGTGGACGCCAAACCTGATTTGGCTCAAGAACTTGAAGAAAAGGTGCCAGGCCAGGGCCGTGAATGTCGTTCGAGATCGTATCGACCGCTGCCTTTGCATAGGAAAGTCAGGTTCCAGAGTTTAACTTGATGTTCGATGTTCATGAAAACTTGGATGACGCTTTGTCGCGTTTTGCGTTGCTTTTAGCGCCACCATTGGCGTTTGGCAGGGCAATAGTGAATTGACATCCGGCCCGCTAGCTGGAGTCAGAGGCTTCGCGGCTGCATGCTTTGCGTTCAAGACCAGTGGGCCAGTCGGCTTTGTGTTTTGCAGGATGGCCCAGTCAGTCAGGTCCTTGGAGCGCTGCATGGCAGCTTTTAAGCAAATTCCCCACTCCACATTTTTCCCCGCAGGCTTGCGGAGCAACTTCGGCTGCGAGTGGAGGGCAATTTCGCTAGGCTGGGTAGCAAAAGTCAAGTCTTTGAGTCCCGACTCACATCGGATCCAGGGGGCAGTCAGCATCATCAAGCCTGATGCTGCAACTGGAGGTGCGAGTTGCTGACATGTCATCTTGTCAGATTTGTTAGATGGAGAGACTTGTCAGATCTCAGGCAGCCAAAGCTGATGCCTCAAGTGGTTTTTGCTCTTGAGGATCACCCGAAGGGTGGAACATTTGCAGACTGCCGCGACTCTCGTGACTCAGGCTTCTTTGAGTCACCCAATTTGGAGTGAGTGACCGGCCCTGAGACCTGCTCAAAGGATCTCAAAAGAGTTTGCGTGAACTTGCACCACTTCCATTCAGGTTTGGTGATTGTCCACTCAGGAGGACATGACCTGAGAAGTCTAACATGCTGGAATGCACATAGGGGCACACAACCATGTGAGGCAATGATTTCATCGGCGCTGAGAAGAACTACAACCCTTTTGCCCAAGGAAACTTCTGGATCCCGCTAGCCTCTCAGGTAAGATGTGCATCTCTCTCTGTATATATATATATATGTGTGTGTGTAACATTCCACCCGGATTCCAAGGCACGTAACCTTTGGCTTCCGCAAGAAAGCTTTGGAGGCCTTTTGTCGCAGGATGTGTCACAATGTGCCTCTTTGTGCTGATGCTTTGGGATGCATCAATATGCATCATGTTCATGCATTTCTTGTCTCGTTCGCCTCTAGGTCCTGTCAAACCTGGAAGCCTTTCTCAAGGCTTTGGCAGACCTGGGGTGTCAGAACTTCCTTGTGTCAGATTTGTGGGGCTCTCGGATCTATCAGATCAGGACATTGTATATATTCGTAGAAAGCCTAAGTCGCAAAGGAAAGGTGTTAAGGCATCGAATCTGGTGAAAGGATGTCCTTTCTCCTGTTCGAGACGGTTCGAGATGAGTTTTCTCGAGGCCTTTCACTTCTGTGGTGCCAGCGCTTCAGATGGCTCGCCTGGCACGGGTGAACAAGTGCCTCGACCGAGATGTGAAAGCCGAAGCGAAGAAAGACCGACCTGGCCACTGCGAAGCGAAAAAGGAAAAGTCATTCGGTACGGCCTTGTTCTTTGTGAGGCGAGGACGCTGGATGAGCCAAGAAATGGAGAAGATGTTAAAGGCGTTTCACACCGATGCGTTTGCTTGACCAAAAATCTCTTTCAAACTCTGAGGCAGTCATGAGGTATCATTACATGTTGCCCCAAGACAGTCTGAAAGGACATCCGTGATTTCTTCCGACACGAAGGCAAGATCACTCTCAAGTCCTTTTGTCAAGTATGCTGTTTTCGTGGTAGTAGAGATCTCCCAGGAAGAATGAACAATGCCAATCTCAAAGTTGTCACGTGCCAATATCAAATCTCCAATCTTCATTTCAGGGCGTGAACTCCAGATTGGGCACGTTCGTGAAGCTGAGCTTCTGAATTTTTTGGTTGGGCTCTGAGCACGCCGTGTCCCCAAACAGTTTACTGCTGCTAGGAGAAAAGACACTGGCCACAGTCTTTGGCCACGCCCCTGAACCCTGTGTCTGGGTGAGTGTTGTCCTCCTGGTGCCATCCTGCTGTCCTCTGGCAAGGCTGCCAAAACCCTTTGTCCTCCTTGTCCTCCTGCTGTCCTTTGGCCGCGCCGGTGTCCTCCTCGTGTCCTCGATCCCCAAAACGGTTCAAGAAAGAAATGGCTGGCCATGATAGCTGTGGCCGTGCTGCGGGCTTTCGTTATCTTCTTTTTCCCCCTGTCTGGGTGGGGTTTGTCCAGGCCTTCTCCACTGCGCTGCTGTGGGCCCTTCGTTGTCCTTGTCCAGGCTTTGTCCAGGTCTGCTTGGCCCCGACTTGTCCCAGCCTGCTTGTTTGCATTGTCGGCCCTTTTACTACCGCCTTGTCCGGTTATGTCAATGTTTTCGTGTGGGTATGAATGCAACAAAGGTGCAGCGTTTCAAATTTGATATCTGATATCATATATCATCCTCGGATGTTCTAGTTCAAGGAGTTGACACAAAAAGAATTGCTGACACTGTTTGGGGTCTATGTTGGCATGATTATCTCTTGCTTTCGAGAGAGATGTTTTTCTTGCAAAAGTCGCAAAAGTCACTGGGTTTGACGCTTATATAAATGTGTCCCAAATATCACCAAAATCTGGGCCTACAAAGGCTGAGAGAGAACGCCAATGTTAGTTTTAACAAAATGAAAAGACTGGTGCGCTCATTTTGTCTCAAACATTGCCTTTTGTTGTGTTGTTTATGTTTGTATTTTGTGTGTGTGCGCGTTGTTTTAAGATGTTGTTGGTTGTTAATACAAGTTGTGCTATTTAATTCCCATGTAGCACATCAGACACTCTTGATACGTGGTATAGTCTTTATTCGATAGATGTCATTTCTGGCGCGGTTGCATATAAGGTGCTGATGCTGATGTCGGGATTGGTAACACAGCAGGTAATTCAACAATCAAAGGAGCACAAAATTGCACAAATGAACTCACTGTTAATGGTGCCTCTTATTTAGGTGGCAGTGTTACTTCTACAGGTAATATCACTATACTCAACGAGAGCAGGGTTACTTTTGGTAATAGACATTGTGTAAGAAGAATGATGGAGCAAGTGAGAGACTGGCATTTCATGCTGGTGGTGGTAGTCATAGTTGCAGATCTATTTTAGGCAATGAGTTGATAGAAAGCAGCAGGATAATAGGCATTCAGCAGGTAATCTTCTTGTTAGAGGCACTGTTCACGCTCACAAATCTTGGCGCAGTGCAAAAAGCAATGGCGGCAATGGCGTTGACATTCATTGCATGCTCAAGAGGAACAATGAAGAGTTTATAAAATTTATATATGAGGTTTAACACTGATGGAATTTACAAATTGAGTATGAAATTATGTACCTAAATTGATGTATTTTACTGGTGGTGAAGGGACAAGTAGAGTACGAAGCAGTTGGACAATTTGGAATGACAGCGCTACTAATGCTCCTAAAACAATCTTAGGAGCAGGGGCAGATGCTAATATGTTATTGATGAGATGAATACAGATGACCGCAAAAAAATGCAGGGAACCCTTTTGGCTCCCTTTTGAGGGCGTGTTTGCTTTCAAAAAGGGCATCTAAAACTACATCCACCGAAGTCAAATAAGCAAGAAATTAAACAGAACAGGGGACCACCAGAGTGCGTATTTTCTATGTTTTTGCTGCCTACTTTCATCTATGTGCTATAAACTTCCCACTGTGGCCTGCATTCATGCTATGTGTCTGTGAAAGCTGCCTCAATGTCCTTTGCACTGGAAAACAAACACAAACAGTCTTGAGAAAATTTAGAGAAAACCAATACAACCTAGGAAAAGCCAAAAAACCTTGGGAAAACCAAAAGAACAAAAAAAAACAAAAATAAAACATTCTCAGAGACTCTTGGCTGGACCCCCCCCTTTCCTCAAGACTTCCCCAGAATTGTTTTGTTTTTTGGTCTTTGTTGGTTCTTTTGTTTTCTTGGTTTTCCCAAGGTTTTTTGTTTTTTTTGCTTTTCCTAGGTTGTTATTGGTTTTCTCAAGTTTTTTTGTTTTCTGGGGGTTTTCCTATTTAGGTCAATATGTGTTCTTACTATTTCGTTCAACCTTCAAGTATGTGAGCCTAAGTCTCACCTTACAATGAAAGCGTCTGAGCCCACCACTCCCTTGTCCTTGTCGAAATCTCCATGTACAAGTCTGTGTATTAACTTCTGATTGGTATCAATGTGGTTGCCAATTGCATGTCCAATCAGCTTGACATGAAACTGTAATGATACCTTCCAATTTACATGAAATTGTTATGAATCTGTGTAAGCTGTAGTTCTAATCCAATGCTTGTTGCTTTTGCTTCGGCTTTGTAATTTCGAAGCCTCCTCGACTTGTGCATCTTGTAGCTCAAGCGTTTTACATCTTATTCTGGCGAACTTCTAATTTTACTTCCAATTCCTTTCTATATATTTCAACTCTCATCTAATTTTAAATAGGTTATAGTTATAGTTCAATACAAGTTTAGTTGAAATTCGGTTTTAATTAAGTTCTATCTTAGCTCTAACTCAAATCCAATTTAATTCTACCTAATTCTATTCTAGCTCTAGTCTATTTAGTTTAAGAAAACGCATGCTGTTTTACAGTATTTTCTTGCCCTGGGAGTGCTGGGAACAAGACTAAAACTCTTTTTTGAAGTAACTAGTTAGATTTTGTTTATTTACAGTAATCACTGGAAATAATATGGACATATTAAACTTGTTTTATGTACAAGCTTCTAATTCAAGAGCTTCCCTCTAGATCTCTGTGGATGATCATTTCTACAATAAAAATATGTAAAAGCTTTCATTTCAAAAGCTTTCCTCTGGATCTCTGGAAATGATCATGTCAATTTAAACATGCCAAATATCAATAAATATTTTTCTTTCAAGAGCTTTCATTTCATGAAAAAAACACATATATGGGACATCTACTTTCCCAGAGATCCAGAGGAAAACTTTGAAAATGCAAGCTCTTACCCGCAGAAATCTAGAATAACGCTTTTAACATACAAGGTTTCTATATAGTTGTTTAAATCTAAAAATGATTATCTGCAGAGATCTATAGAGAATATTGTGTAACATAAACGCGTCTATGTAAAATCTTTCCAAATCTAAACATAACTATAAGCAGAGATCTAGAGACACTTTTATGGCCTGCTTCTTTCCTAATTAGTTTGTTCAAAACCATCTGAATGACTGCTTGCTGCGTCCAAAGCAATAAAATTACCCTGATTCAGGAATACATAATATATGTGTTCATATAGAGAGGGCAGGAATAGATTATATATATGGGTGTTTATATGGAGAGGGGCTACCACTGAAGCATTTACCTAAAATTTTGGGAAAACCAAAACCCAGGCCCCATGTTAGAGTAGAGTGGTATCTTTTGCCCTGGAGTGAAAACAAACATCTTTGCATATCTTGAGCATCAACTGATACCAAACACTTTTAAAAAAACAATTAAAAAACTGCACTCTCACAGTCCCCTGCTCTCAAATTAAAGCAGTATCATTATGATAATTGGCACAATTGTTAGTTATTTGCATACACACACACATATATATATATATATGTGTGTGTTTCCCTCGTCATGGCACATTCATATTGGGCAGATAAAGATTGAGCTGATAATTGCTCTCCCAGGCACACCCGCCCTATTATGTTTTTATATTGTTTGTGGTGTGTTCGGTGCGTGGTTATGATGGCATGGTGGCTTGTTGCTTGTTCCTTCAACGTGTTTTGACTTGTAAACCACATTGTACTCGCAGACTGTCCGCTTCACCAGATCGGGTCTTTGGGAAGCTGCTGTGCTCGTTGTGGCTTCTTCGTGCTGGGGCCTTGGGGGACCATCCGAAAGCCAGAGGAGTGTTGAGTGTTGAAATGTTTTGAAACGACTCTATGAGTGTACGGTGTAGTCACATAGTTATTTGATGTTATTTGTCTATACGACTCTACGAGTTGTGGGGCCGTTGGCCATAGGAGTGACCTCTTCCACCCAAGCACCGAGCTGCATGGTCACATGGCAGAGGACAGAGGGAGATTCGTGCCTTTTTGCCAACTTGTTTAATTCTCAGTCTCCCTCGGTGGTGCCTCCGCTGCATCGAGTCTTATCCGGTGTTGGAGGTCATTGCATCGACTGTCAAAGTTGAGCACTGTTCGAAGAAGGCCGCTGCCGGGTGTCGTGTGAGTTGCTAAGAAGCATTTTCCTACAGTTTCTCGGGGTCCTGAACATGCAACATGCCAGGATTGCAAAGAGACTTGCTCAGGTGGGTCCTGGGCCACTGCATCTCCTGAACTTGTGACCTCAGTTTGGACAGTTTGTTGGCAAGGTGAGAACAATGAGCTCATCAACCAATCTCCGGCCAAAACCCAGCATGCTGGCGGCAATAGATCGGTTTGTCTCTTGTATTGTATATTCTGTGAGGGGGTGGGCCATAAATTTCAACGTACATCTATATATATATATGTATATATATAATTGCATACTGTGTATATGTATATATATATATATGTGTGTGTGTATTATTACACAAGCTATTTCGTAATATGTGAAATAATGTTGGTCCCTGTCCTTCACCCTATTGCAGCGAGGTCAACTGGCAGTTTTTCAATATGCTAGGACTGTGACACCGTGTCGCAATTGCACACGAGCGCAAGTGTGTTGGCCTTTCAGGACAAGGATCGAATTCAGCTGCAGCTCCTCCTGGTGACAGCAGTGGCGCCTCAGGTTCTGCATCTCGCGCCAAACTTAGTAGTCAGCTTCGCTACCACGTGCTGAGTGGAGAGCTTTTAGACAAAGCTTAGACTTTGATTTGAACTGGCCGATGGGCAAAAGTCCCGCATAGAAAGGCCGTTCTTCCCTGTGGTATCGGATACGACCGTTTTGCGAATGAAAAAGGAAGCAAGAAACATCAAACTTGACGACGTCAAGTTGTTACAACCAAGACATTCTGAAGCTTTCATTGACCTGATGACTTGATGAGCCGCAATTATGCTATCATGCTGGAGTAGGCAGGGAGGATAGCGTGGGTTTGCCCAGCCGTTTCCCAAATGCCAAAGGACAAAAGCAGGACACTGAAGTCACTGATGTCCTTTCTCGTTCATTCTAACCAGATCCCAGATGCCAGGCACGTGAGAAGAGTTACTGTAGTTATTTGGCACCACCAGGAGATCTTTGACTACTGCTTTTGAGGAAGGTGCGCCTACAGAATCCCAACCAGCTGCTGGCTTTCAGAATATGTTATATAGATATATATATATAGATTATGTTAGCAGAAGCCGGTGCTGCTGTTGACCGGCCAGCCAGTCATGTCCTTTGCCAGGGCTCATAGGTAATTTGCGGCAAGACGTGCAGCCTGACAGCCAGATGGCAATCAAATACAATAATTCAGCTATGGTTCATGGACATCGTGACATCAAATGCACATGTAATGCATGCAACACGTTTGGCACGTCATGGACAAAAAATACGAATAAAGTTTAGCTGAGTCTAGCTTGGCTACTTTAGTGTCCAGTCCCGCTATGCTGGCTCCGTCAGCTGAGGAAGCAACCGTGCCTTGCGAACGCATGTTCTATCATGTTCCATCGTGATGTCAAATAGATGTTCACCATATGTTGTGGGCTTGTCAGGAGTATTTGCAATGGTCGGTGTCCGCTCTCAAGAAGCATTTGCAAGCCCAAGGGGTTGTCACAACAGGCTGGAACCTTAGACCTTGAGAGGGGAGGTCCCTGAGGTTGAGGATGCGGACAGATTTGCAATTTTGTCGGCCTTTTTCCAGCACACAAGCTACTAGTAACATATATATATACATGGCATTACTACTAGTAGCTTTATGGAAGCTACTAGCAACAAGCACTATGCCACTTTGTTCTGAATCGTTGGCTCTCGGGCTCTCGAGGATCCAAATCCAATCTGGTGGATCGCTTGCTGGCGCTGTCTGAGCCGCTCAGCCCATTGTCGCCTGTGAAAAAGCCGAAGGAGACACTTGGAAACCAGACCGGCAACGGCTTTTGACCAAGTCTTGGAGCGCAAGAAACAACACTAGGTAGGTTAGGTCGGCCCTTGGGCTACAGGAATCTTAGTACAGATCACAAGGATGCTTTACAATGAGCAACTTGGGCCAGGCATTGCCAGCTGGTGAGTGTTTTTCCTTCTCAGGAGTGCAGTGCAAAGGCAGTGAAGCCTGCAAAGCCCGCTTCGCCGGCCAAGACCAAGCCTGCAACAAAGCTTGTCCGGTGCAGAGAGGCTTAGGACAAGTTCAATGTTGGAACAACATGACATGCGCAACTCTGAGAATACCCTATGTGGTTAGCCAGTCCGAGTGAGAGTGGACCAGTTGACGACTTAGGCAAAAACCTTGAAAGTTGGTAAAGCGAAGGCAAAGGCGAAAGCAAAGACAAAGTTTGTAAAGACCGGGAGGTGCCATGGTGGACCAATTGGGAATGGTGTGCTGCATTGATCATTGTGTTTTTCGTTTTCAGGGCCAAAGCTGCTGACGACCTTGGAGATCTTCACTCTCCTGTGGCAACGTCCAGACCTTTGCATCGCACCTGTGCAGTCTTTGCAAATTCAGTTGAGCTCGGCACTGTTTGATGTAACAGCTGTCTTGCAGGAGGTCAGAAAAATCAGCAAACGTTGAAATGCTTTCTCAGGTTGAACGGCTGTCTCCGAAAGGTGCCAAATGTAGACATTGGCAAGGCATCTGGAGCTTTTGCAGATGAGATTGTGGACTGCTGAGTGTGGTTGTTTGATGTTTTTAGTACTAAGTCACTAAGTAGTACTGTCAGTACTGTTCAAAGCCCTGCTCCGGCCAGGCTTTGTTGGGACCTGGTCCTTGCTTGCTGAAGGCTTTGCCCAAGACAGCAGCCCACAAGCTCAGAGCCTTGGCAAGGTACACCTACTAGCAGCTGAAGGTATTGTCAATTGGAGTTTTAATGACCGTTGGTCTATATGTTTAATTGGTTCGTTCATGTGCCTTCGTCGACTTTCGCTCAACGACGGAGGAAAAATGATGGAGGCACATGAGTTCGAGTGCGAGGCCTGCTAGTGCGATTGTTGCGCCGCTCGGTGGCCGAGATTGTCAGTTTCTTAGCGATTCTCCCGAGGCCTTGAAGCCCAGCAGCTTATCTGTGCAGCAGCGCTTAGCGATTCGTCTTTACACGGCAGAGGAAACTGCACAAAGATTCTTTTCTGAATCGGTTTCGGTAGAGTTAGAAGATGCTGAACCTTGGGGCAGAACACACCGAAGGCTCTTAAATGCTTTGAAGGAGCCTTTGCCGCTGTACAAAACCCTCAACGCACCCTTTCACGATGCCAAGCGGAGCCCGACCACAATTGCCAACCAGGCCAGAGCCTCCAAAGTTTTTTGCTGAGAGCATGTTAACGTCATGCATCAACTCAATTGTCCAAGGCACCATTTCTCAAAGTGATGGCGCAGGAGTGGTTATATGATCGAGGGATGTCTTGTTTAAACGCAGCTTAGACAATGCGTGGCGTAGCGGCGTAGCGATGAGCTGAGGCTGTGAGAGCATTGGCAAAAGCCGGGAAAGCTTTCAGCTACACCGGACCTGCCTATCGCGGCATCAAAGTAGCAAAGAGTCCTTTGCTGAAACGGAAGTATGAGAGCTGCCCTCAAGTGCGCTGTGTGGATAACACTTCAGGATCAAATCACCGTGCCTTCTGGTTTTACAACTTTTTTGGATAGTCCTTTCCTAATTGTTCCTGGCTTTTGCTTTGCTTTCGCTGTTGCTTGTGGTGGTGCGGCTCTTGGGCATTGGCAGAAAGCCGAGGAACTACGCAGAAGCATTCAAAGTTGGCAGCCGTTTGACCTTTGCAGCGTTCACAAGCCTTTCCCTCGCTGACAGCACAGCGGAAAGCTTTGGGGACCGCATCCTTTTCCAGGCCATTTGGCCGACACATACACGAATCTATCTGATGTCTTTACGAATCTATCTTTGCTTATTTTGCGGTCTTAACTGATGAACTAGCTCTCAGTGCTTGGCTTGGAGTCGTTTTCTTGTGGAGCTGCATCACTGCAAAGCTGGATGTTGCCAGTTTACTCGCGTTCGTGGAGTCCGCATTGCGGAGCTCAGCGCAATTCCTTCAGAGCTGGAGATCCTGGTGGAGCCGCCCGCAGTGTTCAAGGCGAAGATGTTTAGCAAGCGAAATATAGAGAAACAGCAAGTGCCATGTTAAGCCTCGCCTCGGAGAGGTTACAAGCTGCGCCAAATTCCATGGTGTTTTGTGCAGCCCTCGGAGGGGCATTTGGCCAGAGCTCTTGTGTTGAAGCCATAACCTGTCCACATCCGGCTGCCATGGTTCGCTGCGCAGGGTCAACCAAGACACTGAAGGGAGACACAAGAGAGAGAGAGAGAGAGAGCGCCAGAACCAGAGACAGAGACAGACACAGCAAAACAACGCAGTTTGATGTCTAAATTTATGGATAGTCTATCAGTTAGGAATGGCAAGCGATGCAACCGGCTGGAGCAAGAGCCACCCAAGTTGGCAGGCATTGCCGAGGCCCAACAGTTCACAACGGTGAAAATTGAACGCCCAGCAAGAGTCATATAAAACAAACAACAAGGTTCAGATTGATCCTTAAGTGAATCAAGCGCGTTCAAGCATCTCACAGCAAAAGCATAAGAATGGAAGGGAGAAGGCGAGAGAGTAACTAAAGGGTGGCGTTGGACAAAATGAACTTGTGGTGGAAATCAAGTTGACCGCGAGAAGGTCTTTGCGGGGAGAACGCACTGAAACAGGACATCGGAGATTGTTCACTGAGGAGTGTCGTGCTCGAGGCTGTTGAGTCTCCGTTGAAATATTTGTAGTCTCAGTGTAGTCACAGCCGCTTTTCACAAATTGGAACGTTGGGCAAGCCAACAGTCCGGTTTTCGATCAGATGCGACGAGTTAGGGAAAAAAGGCCGCGGTGTGCGATGGCACCGTTGTCGCGGTTCACCCACGCAGGCAGTGCAACTCCCACAGCATCGGCTTCGACTCCAAAGGGTCTCACACCGAGATCTAAAGAGCGTTTTTCCGGTGAACCGATCTCCGGAGATAGTGCCCCTTACCGAGGTTCTTTCTCGCGAGCCCAGACGCTTGGATCCATTCTGAAGAACACAGCACCATGGCCTAGAACGATCTAAAAGGGCCAGAGAAGCGGATCACGGTCACAGTTGAAACCCACACCTGCTACAACGTTTCCTCTGACTGAGACTCCATTTTTCACAGGGAATGATGAATGCACTAGTCAAAGCAATCGAGAAGGTTACCGTTATTGTTCCTTCTTTTGCACTATGTGTTGGTAGCTTTTCCTGCCACTCGTCACTACACTTGAAGTATAGTAGACCTGGATTTGGTTGCTAACTTGTATTTCAGCAGTTGAGAGTCCTTGAGAGTCCCGCCGTTGAGGTATTTCAGCCTTCATACCCAGCCGTCCTGAAAGTAACAGTTGACGGCAAGTTGGATTGCTCCGTCAAAGTTCAGGCCTGGTGAAAACTTGTGCTAGTCCCATGTTGAATTTCTGAAAGCTAAGCTACTGATCCAATGAAAGGTCGTGGGAGGCAAGGCAGAGGCGGGGCCTCACTTCAAGTGCGCTTTGCGAGGCCGTGTCAGCATAGTTGCAGATGTCAGGGCAATGGGCTACCACAAATTTGCGTTGCTGGCAAGCAGTCTCAACCTTGTATACTGAATTTAACCCTACCATCCACTACCACTATATATCAATTTTTCCCCATTGATGTGTTTGTTTGGTGCTGGTTTTTGAGGTCTACTGCAACCTATCTGTCATCTTCGGCCGGGGGCCAGCAGTTCTAGCAGTTGTAGTGTTACTTCTCCGGTCCGGGCAAAACCTCTGAGTTTTGTGAGGCTACCCGTGGGCCTATGACCAAAGGGTCCTTGATAATCGAGGCTACGGGTCAGTTGCGAGTTGTTTGGCCTCATGATGAGTTGTCGACTTCGCTGGAGCTTGCCTCACAGGGGTTCGATGCAGTGCCCTTCTGCGTGGCGCACAATGACCAGGGAACAACTTACGCAAAGCGCCCAGTTGGAGCGAGCCCTTTGGAGCTTTACGGGTCGCAAATGCTAAGACGCTGCGAAAAGAATGAAGTCTGAGACTTCCTGGAGACTTCGGGACATCAATGAACTGAGGTCCAAGGCAAAGGCAAATGGAGATGCACATCATTGAGCGCTCCCAGGCCCTTTGCGGCCTCCGTCAGGGAAGGCAACCGCAAAATGAGAAAAGTGACCAGACATGCGTAATTTTATGTGTTTTTGGTTTTATATAGTCGGAATGCGGTGGAGTCTTGCTGAGATAGGAGGCTCCTGCGACAGCGGTTGGGCGGTTGAGATTTGTTGAGTGTAATGTTGCACTTTCTTTGGTAGGTGGAACTGGCGTGAACAAGCACCCAAGCCAACAGAAGGCAGAGCGGCTGATCTTCAGGCCGAGTTGGACATCGCCAGTTGAACATGTTTCGGCGGCCACGTATTTAACCTCAAATCCCAGTGCCATACAGCACTCGGTTTCCACCTTAATGGCAGCTCCCTAGAGATGAATCAGTTTTAATTTTTGTGCATGCCAAACCTCGCATTTGCTGCTTTGAGGTGATTGCATCTAAGTCTGTCGACAATGTCCCTCAGCTCAAGGCCTGGCTTTGGGGCGAGAAGGTGAAACAGACGGCACGTGTATGCGATGCTCGTTGGTCTTGGAAAATCTGTAGCTATGTCTGAGTAAGATTACGTGAAGTGACTTCGTGGCTGAGACAGGTGTGCGTAAGAGATGCCACTGAAATGGAGCTCAAGCCTGAAGCTCGTCAAGCTCACCATTGCAGAACAACACAACCCTGGGAACAAAGAGGGAGTCAGAGGGTGCCACAGAGAGAGACAGAGACAGAGACAGAGAGAGAGAGAGCGAGAGCGAAGGAAGCAAGGAAGCAAGCAAGGAAGGATGGATGGAAGGAAGGATGGAAGGACAAACAGGAATTCTAATAACACGCACATAATCACATATATATATATAACAACTATATAAAGAGCAGGGTGTCACCCACATGTGAAGCTTTTTGTGCTTGTAACAAGTGGAGGCGAAAGCGGATCAAAGGGGAATGATAGCGGCTGATAGCGGATGAGTGAGTGTGAGAATGAGAGTGACGGAGAGCGAATTGTGAGTGAGCGAGCGAGCGGGCGGGCGGGGAGTAAGAACCCCACACAAAGACGCGGGGAAACAAGGAAGGGAAAGGAAGGGGAACACGCTGGAAGCATGTGGAAACCAAGCTTTTCCAGAAGACCCCAAACCTACCTAGCAATTGTGGAGTTGAGCTGCTGAGGCGTTGTTTGCAGGGCCAAGCATTGCGCGATGCGCAGGACCTTCCACCTGGACCACACCTTGGCTGTAGAATCAAGTGGGCAGGTTGGTAAGCAAGATACTATGTTTGCTCCACTTTGTTCTTTCACTGAGCTGAGTAAGGGTTCTGTGAGCCGCCACTGCACCTTTATTTGGCACTTGGACATTGCGTGTGGTTTGTTGGCCAAAAAACAACGTGGCACACTAGTGCTTGTGCTTCCATGTTCCTTAGCATGCTGGGCTACCTACGGCCAATCTTTTCAACACAATAATGCAGCCTACCTACCTCAGACGTAAGACAAGACGACTGGCGAACAAAATTTGTTTTCACCTTGTTCCTATACATATGCAGCATGACCCTTGCACAAGGATGACGCCCACATCGTGACCTAGTGACCTAGTGGCTCAAGAGTAGAAAGGGGCCCTTTCCCTGGAAGAGCACCATGGAGGGAAGAGGGGCCCACTATGCTATGTCCTCAGCTTGGATCCCCAAGCCTAGAGAAGACCATGAACTTCGAGGACCTGAATTCGTCATTCGAGATGAGGCAGGTGGTGTGCCATGGTGGAGGGGAGGTGTGATGGATGGAGCATGGCATGGTGCAAGGTGGCCTTGGGCCAGAAGCTGTGGCTTTGAAACGGCGTTCGGGAGATGGAGCCCAAATTTCACGGCAAGCTTCGAACCTGAACTGCGCAGACATGACGAGGAAATAGATGATTGAGATGGCAGTGAACTAAATCATGAACTTTGTCCAGGCGCAGATCTTCACCACTACCAAGTAAACATTTATACATATACGTACACCTCTGAATGTGGTTCAGTTCAGGACATTGTGGACCCGAATGCTTGCTTGGCAGTCATAAACACGCTGATTTGGAATGGAATGGCCTGGATCTTGAAGACGGCTGGTTGGGATGCCATCTTGATGAAGGCGGCATCAGCTCTTACTGTGTTTATAAACTACTTATCAAACCAAAACAAACAACATACCACTGGAAACTACTCCCAACATATGTGAGGCTCAAACCACAAAGTAAAAAACACAATGTTTTCCAAACTAGTCCAAACATATGAAGCCCAAACCAAAAAAACAAAAATGAAACATGTTTTCCAAACTAATCCAAACCTTTGTAACATAGTTTCCAAATCATTGGTCTTTTGTTTATTGTTTTCTGCCTTTAGGATTGAGCATAGTTTCCGAATCATTGTTTTTTGTTCTTTTCTGTTTCCTGGCTTTAGGGTTGAGCATAGTTTCCAGATCATTGTTTTTTGTGCTAATGCTATCCCCAGGGGCCCCCTAATCAGGAAGCACGCATACATATTTTTCTCTTCGTGTCTTTTCCTGAGCTCAATCTGACGAGGCCGTATTGGCCTTGAAACAAACCGGTAATAAAGTTTGTTGTCCTTGTCCCTCGCCACAGGGTTTTCGTAGCGCTCTGCTAGCCTGGAATTCTTGGGCCTTGACAATGGCATTGGCCTTCCATTGACTGCAGGTCACCTTGCCTCCTTGCCGCCGCATTGGGTGGCTTGGGTGGCCTAGCCACTTCACTGTGGGTGCCCACGGCCCATGCCAGCACTTGCTTTTGGCCAAGTCAAGGATCTTTTCCCGTGCAGAGTTCCGCAAAGTGCGGCCTTTGCACTTCTTGCAAACAATGTGATTTTGCTGGACCTCAAAATCATGGTTTTCCATGTCAAGGAGCGCCCCTGCCACCAGCTGACGAATCATGTCAGTCTTGGTCTGCTCACTCTGTCTGTGGCCTCCAACAATTTCTACATTTGCGCTAGCCTGGCATTGCTCGTTTTGGATTTGAGCTTCCATTGCTTAGTGATGCACTTCCTGCATTGGTTGCACTGCAGGCTGGTGCCCTTGGCTTCCCATCTGTGGCCCTGGGCTGTTCGCTGGTTGCCAATGTCAAGGAAAAGCTGAGCTTTCTTTTCTCTGGCTTGAGCCCTGTTGGCCTTCCCGGTTTCACGGGATTGGCGGAGAAAATGCTCCTTGGTTTCAAGGTGTCTGATCCTTTGCACTGCCAGCATGGCTATCTTCAGGTAGTGCTTTGGTGCAGGTTCTGGAAGAACATGATGGTTGGAGAGACATGGGTTAGTTGGTTGGCTTCTGTGGTGCTGGCCATGATTGCGAGCAACTTGCTTGAGCCTGAACCTCAACCTCATCATGCCGAGCATAGAGGAAAGGCAGAATTTGAGATGGTCCGAGGCGAAGCAGGCCTTTTTGGTGCTGAGCTTGTGTGGAGGATCGAGAGCTATGGACGAAGCCTTGGTGGAACACAAGTTGCTTGAAACAGCAGCAGGAGGAGGTACAGCAGCAGAGAAGGCTTTGACAGCACTTGGGGGTGGACGACGAGGCCAGGATGGATTTCAGGCGCAGGATTGTGAGGAAGCCGCCTCGCCAGTTGGGAGCCCAAGCATCAACCTGTGCTGGAACACACTGAAAAGCTCGATTCGCTCAATCGTTGTCCTTCGCTTGCATCATTCTCAGCGGAGGAGACAGAGAAAGAGTTCAGCGCGCGGCTATACAGCAGGTGTTTGAAGGGCAAGTGCGTGAGCCTGGTGAAACCCCATAGTGTCGAATGAGATGGTGTCAAAATGTGGCGTGCTTTGCGTCAGGAACCGCTTTGCAACATCAGAGGAGGAAGCCTGGCCTTGCATTAGCCCAGGCTCTTTCAGCCTTTCTTACAGGACAAGACGGCCATGAAGAAACCCCTTTCCTTTGAGCGCGGTCAAGGAGTTGGAGGCTATTTCATCAAGCAAGTATGCAGTATGCAGATGATCTGAAGACGGGACTTTGGTTCGATGTTGTGATGCAAAAGTATGCGAACACCTACAGGTGGCCACCAGTGACAAAACCACGTACTACGAGACCAAGCAGAGCATCCTTGGTTATGATCGGGCCATGAAGGCTTGACCAGCTAATCAAGTCCTTGGATCATGATCAAGGTGGGTTAGAATGATTAGACGCTTTTGGCAGCCTTGTTGGTGGGAGGAGAAATCACTGAGAACGTCTATGAGCTGGAAAAGATGGCTGAGGAGTTGTAAGGAGAAGTTGGCTGCAATTCCACGAGAAAGATGGGAGATTGGAGACATGGTGTTGCCTCTGAACACACTTCTGTCAAGACTTGAGGATAGGTGCTTGGAGGAGAAGACGTTTCATTTACACTACAAGCCGCGGAGCCTTCACGGGGAATGCCAAAGGAACAACAAGGCACCTCAAAAGGTATAGAGGAGTGCGCTTGCCACTCAGATGGCTGATGTTTAGAAGAGATCGGTTCAAGTAGAGCCATGGAGAAGCGGAAGCCAAGGAGTTCTGGGCGAGTTTATCACCAATTTGGTTTTGGTGTTTTCTGTTCCCAGTTTGGTTTTTTTCTCTTCCCGCCACGGCGTTTTCCGTTCCCCCTTTTGCGGTCTTTTTTCCTGGGTGTGTGTTTTCTGTTCTCGGATTAGTGTTTACTTTGCGCTTTAATTTAGCAATGTCTTGCCTTTCTAAGCTGGTGTGATTGTCTTCCCGCTATGTCCGTTCTCGCTTCTGTTGGATGTGTGGGGTGCCTCCGTCCCGGTGTTTGTGTTTTGTCTTGTCTTGGTACGCCTGCAAGGCAATCAGACAAACGCGAAACGAAAGACACGCACGGCCAGCAAAACGCACCAACTCCATCACCAGGCTAGTCCCTTTCCACTTTTTTTGCTGAGTGGTGGTCTCATCGATTTCGTCTGTTCCCCGTGCGCTGGGGGAGGTGCCAGGGTGAGAAATTCCACCCTAAAAAAGCTGGAGAGGGTCCGCCGTATATGCCCGCCAAGCAACGCCGCCGGGAGGGAAGACACTTTTTTCTTGGCTCGGTGTTTTCTGGGAAAGTAAGACATTCCTAAAGTGGCACGAGGAACCACCAAACTTGGAAAAAACACCCAACCCAAATCTCCTACTAGGAAGGGAAAAGCTGTGCGCGCAGGATATGGAAACACCGTGGGAAGGGAAAGCACCGAACCAGGCACTCCACGGCTTAAGTTACGCTAGCAGGAACGGAAAACACTGTGGGAAAGGAAAACGCCAAACCAGGAACAAAAAACCGGAGCCCTTAGATTTCCTTGGTCATTTTGGCTATGTCGACAGTGTTGAAATTGCTTTCGAACCGGTTTTGCAAGCAGCAGCTCGTAGCACGGAAATCTTGCAGCAGCTTGGCAAAGAGCACGACAAAGGACGGACAGCTTTAGCAGAAGGATCTATGCACGCGGTGCGCGATGAATCCGTGGAGGACAAGCTGAGGCGTGTACCACACAGCCGCGGTTTACTTCATGGGGTCTGGCTGTTGAACCGTTTCCATACAAGCAGCGCTGCTGGAGTCACATCATTTCAAAGCCTTTGAGGACGCACATACAAGGGCAAGCTGTGTCATTGGGAATTGTAAAGCGCGGCATCTCAGACAGGTTTGCGTTCCAAAAGTGAATGCTTTCCTGGACCTAGAATTTGTGACTGCACGGCTTTAAGCCGTTAAGTATGAAATTTTCGCGACGGATCCATGAATTGAAGACTTCACTCATGTTAGTTGGAATTCCTTTGATTGAACTGCTTCCGCTCACTGCCCGTCAGTTGAGCTTTGGGGCACTTGTGGTTGCGGCGGTGGAACTCGTCTATGATGTAGCGATTCACCTTCTTGAAGCTTTTCTTGAGGGATTTGCGGCGCAAGATGTACTCTTGAAAATGGCAAGCGTCGTCGTGATTGATACAGACCTTTTTGAAAGACATTGCTGCTTGGGCAACTTCCACTTTGTCTGCACAAGTCTCATTGATCCCAGGATCCGGCGGGTCTCCGGGTCAATGACAAATTGCCACCCAGCCGTCCGATTTGTCTGTTCACACAAGACCTTTGTTCTGGGCCAGGCTTTTCCGGTCGACCACATACACGGACTGCGCGCCCTTTCTCTCCAGTCGTCATTCAATCTAGTGACCGTCAAAGCTGAGGATCTTCACTTTGTCAGGCGTTGGAAAAGTCATGTCTGGCGCCCCAACCCATGGAAGTCAATGTCTTCCTGATGATCATAGATGAATCTCGAAGCAGTGGACCAGAGGCTGGTTTCTGGTGTGACATTGGGTGGAGTCGTGCGACGTGTGAGCCCGTCGACAATCTCCTTCAGGTCTTCGTAGCTAAGGTCTTCGCCAGCTACAGCCATGACCAAAGATCAGGATGGCACGATTGACTGAAGTGCAGAAGACTACCCAGAGCAGCTCTCAGAAGGCGATTGAAGAATTTCAGACGAGTGTAAATTTTGTTTTGATAATCATCTTATGCCAATATTGAGAAGATGGTCCAAACTCAGCGTTCATTCAATAGTCCGTTACAATAGATAGGACTGTGAGTATGGGCATTTCATCTTGCAAGGGTTCCTTGCTGCTGTTTAAAAATGTTATTTTCTTGAAAAAATACATGCTCACAGCGCCCCCCTCTCAAGACATGATAATACGAGTGCACACCGCAAATCTCGCAAACACTGTAAAAACACGCAAGGCGCAAGTCTCTAAACCGACAAAAACACACGCAAACCTGTAGATCCGCGTAAACCCATACACATGCATAAACCCGCGTAAGCCCGTAGACCCGCGCAGTCAAATTCAAAAACATGTCCCGTCGCACTTCAGAGGCAAACGGAAGGGTAGTGCACAGAAAGGGTTTTGCAAAAACCTATTCTACTAACATCGTGGAAGGCGTGGGACAGAACCCAAGGCTATTCGTGGACAGTTCGTGGAATGGTGGGCCAGTAGGAGAACTGACTGCAACGAAATTCCAGAAACCTTCGCAGAACTTCGTGGACGGTTTTTAATGCACTAACTTCGTATAAGCGATTTTTGCTGACCCCCTTTCTCCACACACCCTCCATTTAGCCTTCAGCACTGGCACGCTTTCTTTCTCATTCATGGACCATCCCTACCCTCTTAAGCTACTGCCGGGAGGGCGGACCGCAAAAAAAATAAGTTACATTTTAGGGTACCCCCCTAGGGGGCCAAAAAATGCAAGTTACCACCCCCAGGCACCATCGAAACGGGTAAGGGGTGGGGGGGGTGAGGGGGGCAAAAACATGTAACCTGTTGCCTGGACGTGCTTATGTATATTTTACAACCTCCCCCTAGAGGGGTCGGCAGATAGAAGGGAGGGAGGGGGTCTGGAAAATGTAACTTACGACCTGGGAGGCCTGAACTTACTTTTTAACCCCCCCCCAAGGGTGCGTTGGCAGATCGAAGGGATGTGTGGGGGATATGTCAGACTGTGGCAAGTATGAGATCTGCAAGTCAACTTTTGGAATCACGAAAGGTGAGATTTGCAGACGTCAAAGATTGTAACTTACAATTAGTCCACGCATCCAAACCCTCAGATTTTACAGGGGGTACATGGGTTATGTGAGAAAGTTTGACCTTCACAAATCGTAACTTACATTTTTGCCACGCACCCAACTGAATTTACAAGGAACTGGGGTGTCCCCCTGAGTTATATGCTTACATTTTAGATCATTTTAGCATACTGAAAATCACACACGTCCGACGCCGCGAAGCACAAGCAGGGGGCAAGAGACCAGGGGATCAAACAGCTTCCAAAGTTCAACAGCCGAAAGGCCAACTCTGACAGAAACCGCTCCCGGGGCACCGTTCCCTCCCCCGTTAAGGGAATAGACACAGGGACAGGGGGAGAGGAGAAAAAGTAGAAAAAGTAGCTAGTTAATTTATAATTTTTAGATAGTTTCCTGGTCATATTCCTCCAGTTCCTCTCTTCCCTTGATGTTTGAAGAGTTTTGAGAGCATTTCTTAAAATGTGGAATTTGTGCGTGTGGGACACGGTCTTCCCGAGGACTTTTTCGTGTAGTTTTGTTATTGTTATGTTTTCGCTTTGGGTTTCGCCCATTTTGGTGGCCTAACGGAAATGAGTGTGTCTGGCAGCAAGATTCAGGGGGGCGATGGGGGGGGTCCAAAAATGTAAGCGCGCCACCGTGCCTCAAAAATGTAACTTACATTTTTGAGGTCATTCCCCGGGAAATCACCCATGAGGCCTCAAAAATGTAAGTTACCTTTTTTGAGGCCACCTCAAGGTTAATGTAATTACATTTTTGAGGCCCTCCGCATAGGAAAATGTAACTTACAATTTTCGACGTCCCCCCTCAGGAAAGGGTAGTGATCATGGACCCATTGCTGGCAGAAAGCTGCAGTCAACCCAAAAGATCAACTCCGCAAGGCAGAGTCTTGGTTGGAGAGGTTTCCATCCTTCCGAATTTGTGCGCAGGGGGGTTCTTGTATGACAGAGCGGCGTGCATAAAGGAATAAGGTACAAGCAGATGACAATGTCAACATTTTGGGCCGCGTGTTTCTCCACAATGAGATGTTTGTTCTCCTACCTTTGATTCTGTTCCTGGTTGTGGGCAACCGTCGACGTCAACGACAACCAGCGAACGGAGCACCCAAACAGCTGTACAGTAGCCTTTGGCCGCCGTCGGCCGCAATGCACCCGATTTCTGTCCAGTTCATAAACAGACATGGAACGACACAATGGCCAGTTGAACTGGGTAAACATTGTGCTGAACACGTCGAAAATTAAAGCGGTTGCTAATGTTTTTTTGTAAGGCAGCGTCTAATAGTAGACTTTGCTTGACAAAGGGGATCTTGCCTCATGCCTCATGAATCGGTCTCCATGAATCTACGCGTACGTGTGCATGCCTGCCGCATTTCTTAAAACCAAAAAGTTATGGTTGCCCTCTCCCTCTCTCTCGCCTGCTCTCTTGCGGAGCTGCTCAAAACCGATTGGCTGTTCTTGGGCACTGCTGCTTCACCCACATCCACCCACTTTCACGGCGAGTTGTTCTCTTTTTCCTGCTTGCTCAAAGCTTGAAGTGCAGTTGCGCTCCACAAGTTTGGAGTGTAGGAGGCGGGGGACTATGACATGCTTCTGGCCCAGGCGTGGCGTGTTGAGCATTGCAAGTCCTTTGAAGTTTTTGAGTTGTTCATAGCTCAGGTGACCAAGGCAAAGCAAGCTGGAGTTGATCGGTTTTGGGCCTAACGAGAGCGGAACAAAACCATCAGCCCTAGCAGCAATGAAACTGAGGGAGCAGATCGAGGAAGCTGAAGATAGGCCCTAAGTCATCACTAGCACTGCACGGGCGGGCACAGCATTGCACCAGGTTTGTTCTTGTGTTGTTGCACAGTGTCACATTGTTTGTCATTCTGTCCTGGGGGCAGTGTTCATGCGGTGTATACATGGCGCAGACTGAATGGACTGCGAAAGCTGGGGAAGCATGTCAACTGTGGTTGTGACAAGGAGAACCCATTGCCGCATTCCGTGTTTAAATGCGTCCAATTAATTAGTGTGACGCCTTCACGTATGTCAGGAGAGTTTGAGGTTGATGATGCAGTGGGACAAGGCTGGGTGTCCTTACTCCAGTTGGCCACTGATAACTGGTTTGAACTCCGCCTATCTTGGCATTTGAGGTCCTGGATGGTGTAGAATTAAAGATGCTCTATGATGGCATCATACTTGTTTTTTTTTCATATTTGTTTCCTTGCAACAGTTGATTGCTCAGCATACTTTTTTGATTCAGGTGACTCGGTGCAGCGATGTGTTGCCCACTGATGCATGCAAAGCCGCAACCTGTGTTGAACTTGACATTGCAGCCGATGTTTCTGTTTACCATTGCTTACCCAATGTTTTATCATGTGTTTCTTTACGGGTGAAGTTGACGCTTTGGTCGCATCCATCAGGTTCCTGAGTGCCCATGCAACCAGGAGGCTTGTGGCGAGGCAAGGTAAATGCTGGATGTATTCATGTTTGACGTGTATTGTTTTGTGACTCAATCGCTTAGCTTTCTTTCAGACATCTTTTTGTTGAACGATGTTGCCTGTTTGCATTGGACGTTGGGAACCTGTATCGTTTCCAATTGAGGTCCTTCAAGTTTTGCCCAATGCTGTGCAGAGCTGCTTGAAAGACTTTGGCCCGGAGGCCAGTTAGTTCTTGTACCACATATGAGTTTGATGTCAGGTCAGCTGGAGATTGAAATTGTACAATCAAGCTTTTTCAAACCGGTGTTGAGCTTACTCCTGTTAGCTCAATCGGCTCAAGAAACGATGCCGCGCCAATGCTGGTATTGGACGGGGGTACCAGGGAGTTGCCACCATGGTGACCACTGCTATTTCACACACGTGACATGTCAACAGTGGGAGCGTGACTTGGCTTAAGGGCAGAACACACAGTTGGAGCATCAATGTGATTCACATCCTTAAGTCTAAGGTGACACCAGGCGAACCTGCCGAAATTGGACAGGTCGACCGGGCAGCTGTCGCTGGGGTGAAAAATGCCATTTCTACCACAGCAAAGAAACCTCCTCTGCGTCAGACTCACGGAGGGACACACGGATCGAGCATGACAGCAACCTGCCGGAATGTTGTATTTGCTGGGAAGCGCCACGAGCAGAGAAGTATGGTTTGCTTGAAGGTTGCAACTCGCCTGAATCGTGCACACTGTGTTCTGTGCACTTTACACCATATTGTCAATGTCAAGTTTGCTCCAAGTGTGTTTTGGCCTGATATGCTGAAGTACACGCATCTGACTGAGGTGATCACGTGATGTGCATGCCCTGTGTCATGTCATGGCGAAAAAGCAAGGCAGTGTCCAGGGAAGCTCGGCTGGGTTGCCCAATCTGTCGTGTGGACTCTCAGATGCAAAAGGCAACAAGTTTCTGCCCTAAAATCTGCTTGTGGGGTTGCCTTAATGTATTTTTGGGGGTCTATGAGTCTATGATAGCATCATAATGATTGCGTTTGCATTCCTTCCAAGTGTGAAGGTGAGCTACATCGTTGTTCCTTGGCCCACGCCCGCCACTGGCGACGAAAAACTTGGTGTTTTTGCACAACACCGAGAGCGCTGTAGGGCTACGCCCTGCAAGTGGTCGAACCGTGGCCTTCCCTGCCCTGCAGGGAAGGAGTGTCTGTATGATCACAGTGCAGCACCCCAAGTACCTCCACACAGCGAGGATGTCCATCGTCTTGAGGAGTTGGAGGAAATGCTGGACAATGATATGCTGGGCATATTGATGCAGATCGTCCAAGGTCAAGGAAATGTTGGCTTGTCAGATTTAGATGACCAAGCCCTCGAGTTCCTCAGAATTATACTTGAGGAAGCAATTCATCGGCAGTCAGACAGTGAAGATAGGTGAAAGTGTGAATACATGTGAATACTTTAGTGAACTGTGCGGCATGCCCTTGCGAACAATATGTTGCAAGGTGTGTACTGTAGATGTTGAACATGTGCAGTGATAGGTCGAAATGGCAAATCTTCACTACGTCCAAATCTGTATTGCAAACTTGTGATTCTCGGAAGGGCACAGTAGGTTAATGTAGGTCACATATGAAGCATTGGGAGAACTGCCTGCCAGGGTGACAGAGAACTCTTTGAAGAGCTCGCAGGTTCTGCACTTGCAGTAGAAGAAGGCCACAGACTAGTCTGAAGTTGTTTGCTTGTTGGTTGGCACCATTTGTGCAAATCTACCCCTGGACCTAGGCTCTGTGTGGAAAGCCGGCGGCAAGTTGATTTTCAGCGCTTTCGATCGGAACCAGTTGCTCGGCAAGCTTTTGAGCATTTTGACAGCTCTTTTCGGCAAGCCGATGACTGCTGATGACTTCTGCTCAGGTCTGTTCAGGCTTTGACGAGGATGTTGAACAATGCTGGAAGGATGGTGAAAGTGTTGAACATAGCGTCAATAGGCTATTAGGTTGGAGGCCATCGCTACTAGGTTGGAGGCCGCTATTAGGTTGGACATGTTTGGACGTAGCATGGCCTTAGCACAATCGCGTCATCGCGTCCCGCATCGCTTCCCAGAACGCGGTGCGTAAAGCTGCTGCTGCAGATGGTGAAGCAGAGCACTTAGCGACAACAATGGGTCCGTGGGATACTCTGCGGAGTGGTCAAGGCACAGCGAGGCGGAGTATGGCGGCTATGCTTTCAGCCCAGACTGTGTAAAGTAACATGGGATATTGATATCTCTTCAGTTTTCCTCATATGTGTGCCACACTTGTGAGGTTACTGCAATTCAAGTGAATTTCCATCCAAATGGACCGCATCTGAGCTTTGCTGACCAATGTGACATGATATGGGTGTCATGTGAATCTACAATCTACAGGTGCCAATGGTTTCAGAATGAGGCGAATCCTTCCACGCGCAGCACCGTGACATTTACAGCGCAAAGCAACGTGCAGGCAAGGCGGCCAAAAAATGCTCAGACTTTTGCAGTTGGCAAACTTGCCACGTTTTCAGGGCCTAGTTGCACATGCACTTTCAAGAAGTGCGTTGGCACTGTTTGCTACACCGTCGGCTCCAGTCGCCAATGCCTGCCGGAAGCTTTGACACTGAGCTGATTCAGCCAGCTACATGCATGATGTTCGACAGACAAGGCTCTAGCATGTTTGAGTCCTCAGCTGGCATTTCGGAAGCAAAACCACCTACCAAGATTGGAGACCATGACGGATGTGTTTTCAGCAATAAAGCCCTGTGGCGCTCGCCTTGGACGCCGGTGCCGGTAGTAGGAAAAGACAACAAGTAGTGAAGAGTGGGAAGTTTCAATGAAGGACGAGTTCGACAGATGGTGGCCCTTAAAGTCTTGAGGATGGCTAGCTTTCATGAGCTTTCATGCTTGGTCCCATTTGAATGAGCACATGCAACTATAGGTAGTGTAGGTTGGATTCGGTCCAAGAGATTTCTAGAGCAAGCCTCGTCAGTTGGGGATTCTTCTACACACGAGGTGCGAGTTGTACTGGTCGACGGGAGCGCCGTTGGCTTCACAGTCAGGGGCTTTTCACTGAAAGCCGAAACATCAAGGCGTGTTTGTCATCCCTTAGCTTGGAAGTTGAGGTGGTGACGCCATGTATTTCAACGAAGCATGGAACGCCAAGTTCTTGGCAGATTTCCTGATTTCGTTGACAATTTGAGCATCAAGATTAGGCCATCCCAAAAACATCACGCAACTGATGCTGTAGCGTTTTCATTTCGCTTCTGAGGCCAATCACACTCATGGAATTCCAGCCATAGAGAACGGCCAAGCACTAAGGCGGAAAGAAGATGAAAGGTGTAATGTATGTACAAAGTTAGAGGCAACGTTTAGGACAAAGAACAAACGAAGATTGTTTTGTCACTTTTAGGACCTTTAGACCGTTTTTTTGGTTTCTTCCCTCATGTGCAACAGCCTGCGGGATTTGATGACTGAGGGCAAGAAATTGGCCCACGTATATCTATTGCCTTTCTTCTCGGAGCTGAGGACTGTTGAACCTATTGTGTGACCACAAGGTCTTAAATGGACTCAGTAAAGCCATCCAGAAGTCCTCCAAGTTACACGACTTTGCGTTCTGAGGTAAGGCTGATATATGATCACGAATCACGATGAAGACTTAATGATGTCGAACATGTTTGAAAGGAATCCCGGAGCCTGATGAACAAAGTCCCTTTGCCAAATGAGGTTCCGTGACATGGAGCAATCTGGGGAAATTCCCTGCTGTAGCTCTGTAGGCCCTGAAAGGAAAGTCGTTAAGCAGCTACGTAGTAGCTATTATATTGTAGCTCAATCTGCACCTCCAAAGGAGCTGCAAATTCTCGCAGTGCTGTCATAGCACCGCTTACTTCTTGACAGCTTCATTAGAAGCAGGTCTCCTGAAATCTGGAAAGCACAGATGCATCTACCCATCACTTGCCTCAACCTGCCGCTGTGTTCACACGTCCACTGTTCAGCGACATTTGACTTTGCTTTGGTTGGCTCGCATTGGCTCAAAAGAGCTTCAACAAGCTGTAGATAGCTTGGGCAGACCTTGATATTTCGCGTTATCTTTCCACTTCCTTACCGTTTGGTCTGTTTGATGGCCAGGATCCTGATTGCAGTGTTGTTTCAAATTCTCGTCGAAGGCGCATGCGGTGCACTTGGTACATGCGATGATCGGACGCAGACATCCGTTGGTCGGAAGTTGCTGCAGACAGCCGTCACACAGACCTCAGAGACAGCTGAGACCGAGCTGACTGACTTCAACTTGAGCGACCGACTTCAATCGAAAGCCGCGCTGATCCAACGTGCTCGTGGCAGCCATCGCCATGCGGCGAAAAGCTTGGACACCGCTGTGGCTTCAAAGGCTTTTGATTGGGTGGACGATGTTGTTGATGCCGTGGTGGATGCAGCCAACACGGTGGCCGACTATGGAGCTCAAATTGGTAACGAGCTTGCAGATGTGGGCATGAGTGTCGGCAGTGTGGCTGGGAACTTGGCCTTGGTGATTGGCAAATCTATCGTGCGCACAGCAGAGCAAAGTTACAAGGCGGTCCCCAGTCAGATCAAAGCGGCTGCTGGCTCGTTGGGCAGCGCCGTGCTAAGCACTGGAGCTCTAGTGGCAAGTGTTGGGCAGGCTGCGGCCAAGGCTACCGCTAAGCTTTCGCAACAGGGACTGCAGATTGCACAGCACAGCCTGGAGCAAGGTGTCAAAGCAGCCTCAAAAGTAGGGCAGGAGATTGCCAGCCGAGCCACTGACTTGGGGGAGCTTGCCACGAAGCTTGGGCCGCTGGCAACAGGCTTAGCAGCCGCAACCTGGGAGGCAATCAAAGACATGATCGGGTGCTTTTTCAATTATTACTCATCAATGTGCACACTTTTCTTGGATGATGTGTGTGATTGCGATGCCGGGAGCAGTCTGAGCCTGTCCACCTCTGGCATTTCCGTGAACTGCATTTTTAAGGCTGGCGGCTTTACCCAGGGCTTTGGGTTATCTGCCGGGGGGCAGTTTTGGGGAGGCAGACGATGCAAGCGGCCGCATGCAGCTACCAGGCACCTCTTTCAGCCAAGCGCGTCGAAGTTTGTCGGAAGACTTGAAAGCAAAAAAGACTTTGCGGCAAAGCCTGGCTCCAGCGCCAGACGGCGCTTGCAGTGGCAACATGAACCTCTCCTTGGATGGATTGGTGCAGTTTGATCCTTCCGTGGAGATTAGCCTGGATGCAAGCGGCAAAACCGTGGTGGGAGTTAGTGGCATCGTTCGGGTGAGTGCAGAGGCACTGGTGGAGGCTGAAGGTTCCTGTGCCTTTGAAGCAGAGCGGCGATTTCCAAAGCGCCCTATCACAAAGGTTTTTTGCGCTGGGCATGTTTGTGTGGCGCTGCTTCTGCAGATGCTTGCAGAGATGGAGGTGGCTGGCACTATGACGGGCAGCGCAGAGCTGAGTGCCAGTGCTGACTTCGAAATCAGTGGCCGGACCATCCTAGATGCTGGTGGAAATGCCAACGTCGATGTGAACAGCCCACAAGTCAAGCACAAGTCAGGCTTTGGTTTGGCAGCTTCTGCTTCCGCTGTGCTTCGTCTTAGCTTGGGTCCAGAGCTGACAATTTGGCCTATGCCTGGGGTGCCTGTGACTTTCAACCCCATGATGAATGCAGAGGTGCGAGGCCAGGCAACCATTGAGCTTTCTCAAGGACATACGTCTTTACTTCAAGGAGCGGCTGCAGAGCGTGCCAGCCACAGGCATTGCACGGTGTTCGAGAAATGGCGCTTGAAGTGGTTGGGAAGCCACGTGGAGATGCCTTTGGGTTCCACTCCTTACGGTGCAAACGTTGGCTCCTGGGAGAACTGCTTGAACCTATGCGAGACGACGGAGGGCTGTCATCAAGTGGTGTACAGTGGTGGACATTGTCACGGCATGAGTGAGGCATCGGATGAAGACCAAGATGGCCTCGGTGGTGAGAATGAGAATTACATGTCGGCACAGTGCACCACGGTGAACACCATTGAGATGTGCGCAGCGGCTGCTCTCAACCTCTACACAGATGTTGAAATTCAAGGCTTTGCCTTTCCAAAGGGGCTGAAAGTTTCCTTGGACAGCAGCTGGCAGTTGGACTGCACTTAGTTCGAAGAATCTGCTCTAGATTCTAGATTTGAGTTGGGATTTGATTCTGATGTTTGATCGAATGCTAGCCGAGGTTGGAGGACGCAATTTCTTCTGCCATCATTGAGGGCGCAAGGGCAATGGTCAACATGATGCTGGGCCCTGTCGCTGGTCTCATCACATGAGTTGCCAAACACCAAGCTTAGCAGAGCTTTGGAACATCCATCATCCTTTGCCATGCCTGGCCTTGATGCCTTGAGTACTTCGGGTTGCCGCAAATACCATTCCGCAGACTCAACGCTCTCAGGTCGGCTGCATCCCCGGTGTCAGCGATACCATGGATGTGGTGATGACGGCTGCTGAGGCAGCATCCGGACTGGTGAAAGCTTTAATTCCAGATCTCTCTTTGGATTTCTCCACGCCAAGCATGGTGCCCTGGCATAAGTAGGGCCCCTAGTTCAGCTCCCCAAAGAAGCAGGCGTGCACTCAAGCGGTTCTGTAGAGAGACGGACGCAGAGAGAGAGAGAGAGAGGCAAGCAAGCTGGTGGGTGATGCTAGAGATGTAGAGGAGTCTCTCAGGGATACCTAGCAGCATGGAGAATGATGCGCAACGTATCACAGCTCTTTCCAATACAGGCATGAGAGACTGCCGTGTGTTGGATTGAACAGTCAGGGCGAAATGGATTGTAATGGCTTCCAGTGGGCTCCATTGCATGCTGCGGGTTCCAAAAGCTATGAAACGTTGAGTAATGTTGACCCCTGTAAGTGGTATGTGGATTGCACGAGGGGCAGCCAAAGACAGACTCCTCCCCATCCAACACTTGTACTTGATTACGATTGAAAAGCCACAGGTTTTCGCCCATTATGGCCAAGTGGCACGGCCAGATATTCCGAGCGCAATCTTAGGTACTGCTTTCGCCTAAGAAGCTCTTCTGCATTGAAGCCGTCACGACGCCGGGCTTCAGCGTGGCCCCATGCAGCGCGGAGCTGGGCTGCAGCCATGCGGGACGCGGAGTGCCCACATCGCCTGAGGTGGAGACTCTTTCTACCGGGAACGAGGAGATTTTATTAGAAAAGGATCTTGAAATGAATTCTGGGGCATTGTTCGCTGGGGTTATTTCCTTGAATTTATTGCATTGCCTGGAGATTCTGTATGTTGGGTTTCTTCGCAGATGCCTTGTGCCGAGCTTTATTAGCTAGCAGCTAGCTACATGGTTTTTGCAAGATGCTGGAGCAAAGCTGCAGAACTTAAGCAGCTGGAAGGGAATCAGTATGTTTGCAGCGAAGCTGTCACATGAGTCGCAATTGCTCGTGGTAGAAGTACTGGGAGCGCGAACACATGCACGGACAAGAGTAGAGAGACAGAGGGAGCTTAATCAACGGAAGCTTGACGAAAAAGTGCAGAACAGGTGCACTAGCTCAAGTTGTCAGCAGCAGGCCTTGGAGCCAGCAACCCACCTTTCCTTTTCATGAAGATTACATTCAAGAGCCAACGTTGGGCCAACTCGACTCCATTGTAATTGCTGTTGCGTTTCTACCGTCACTGACACTGGGCACCTCATTCTGCTAATTCTACTGATGATGAATGACCAACCAAAGTGCTTTCTGATTGTGCGATCTCCTTCCCGGTTTGGGGCAGACAGTCAATTTGTATGCCAGGAGTCTCCAGCAGCACTTCTGGAGCCAAAGATGTCAGCTCTACAGCAAGGGAAAGAAAGACGCTGCATCGTGTTTGAGCATTGGCGCCTGAAGTGGTTGGGAAGCCACGTGGAGATGCCTTTGGGTTCCACTCCTTACGGTGCAAACGTTGGCTCCTGGGAGAACTGTTTGAACCTATGCGAGACGACGGAGGGCTGTCATCAAGTGGTGTACAGTGGTGGACATTGTTACGGCATGAGTGAGGCATCGGATGAAGACCAAGATGGCCTGGGTGGTCACAACATGCATTTCACCTCGGCTCATTGTGCAGAAGAAAGTCGAAGATGTGAGACATTCGTGAACTGGCGAATGGCCGTGGTACCTCATTCGGAAATCAGCCTGGGCACTTTGCCATATGGTGAATTCAGTGGTGGTTGGTTCCGTTGCCTGGAGCTGTGCAAGACAACACCCGCATGCAAACAGGTGACCTACAGCGCCGAAGGTCGCTGCTATGGCATGAGTGAACGTACTCACGTTGACGGAAATGGTTTAGGCGGCCACAACTTCGGCTTCACAACGGGTCATTGCTTTGGAGAGATTCGCTCAGGTGTCGTAATGCAAACGCTCCCTGGTTGCCCAAATATGCCAATGGGCGATCGCTTCTTGGATATTGGGCCTTGGCGTTTGGCGGCCTTTGATCAAAACCACCTTTCCTTTGCCCACAAGACTGTGCAGCGTGCCATCACTTTCCGCCACGATGGAGCTATTTTGCACCAGCGCACAGACCTCTTGGCTTTCAATCGGCCAGTGACCCCGCCAAAGGGCATCAAATTTGGTTTCCAATTCATTCAAATTGGTGAGTTTCGCTTGGGGGCTGTCAATGACAATTACTTTTCCATCCAGCATTCAAGTGGAAACACCATCCAAGTCTTCAGCTCAGATGGCACCACATACAGTGGCCCGCGCACAGACTATGAGACGTTTGATCGTCCTGAGATGGCAGCTGTGGGCATTGACTTTGGTGCGGAATTCTTGCAAATTGGACGATTCCGTTTGGCCGTCACTCAAGGCCACTTGGTGCTCTCGCACGAGGGTGGCTGGACGAGCCAGGTGGGACCCTGTAGTGGAGCCATGTAATTAGCGTCGGAAAGGCAAGTGAATGTTAACAAGTGTAGGACACAAAAGAACAGCGGCATACCTGGTCTTGAGATTCTTTTGGGGTAACTTGTTCAAGCTTTCGGTTTTGGAGTCCGGCGCCTGTCTCCGTTGGCAGGTGTGGAACTCCGATGGGGCAGCGCATCCAGGTGCCCTCCATTGGACCCCAGCTGTAATGAGCCTCCCAAAGCCTTCCTGGACTTGCGCCTTTGCTGGAGACGACGATCAATAACTGTATATACTGTTAGCGAAAAAATTGATAGATCCATGTGTAGAATTGCATGGAATTGCATTGCTGGCACAATCAGTGTCCACAATTCTTCTGTACATCGATTACACCGTTGCACCGATCACATCCAATTAAACCGGTTACACCCACGACATCGGCGACACTGATTACACCGATTACACAGGCTACACTGATTACCCGGAAGCTACTAGGAACAAGTGCCACGCTAGTAGTAACAGGTGCCTTACTAGTAGTAACAGGTAACAATGTTTGCTATTAGAAACAAGTGCCTTACTACTAGTAACAATAAGAACCACACCGATTACACCGACGACGCCGGTCACAGCGATTACGCTGACGGCACCGGTTGCGCTGATGACGCCGGCCACAAGCGTAATTGCCATGTCGCTCTGGAATTGCAGAAATTCGAAGGGAAAACTCATGGATCGCAGGGAATCACTGCAGGCCATTCCCACGACACGGCTTAAATACTTGAGTTGCCTGGGGTTGCTTGGACTAAATTCTGAGAGAGAAGGATCCGGTTGCTTCAACAGCCAAGGTAAAGAATTGGAGGAGTTGGCCTTTGGCGATTGTGGCCTTTTTGGTGGCTTCGGTGACCGCTTCATCCAGCTGGGGGAGTGGCGTGTTGCTGCCATTGATGAGACCCACTTGAGCTTCTCGCATAAGGACGCTTTGAAGACTCAAACCAACAAATTGTCGCAAGACAAGGGTTGGCATACTAACTTAACTAGACATCAAAGAGTTTGCTGTTGGTTTGTTGGCATAAAGGACGGGCAGACACCACAGATCTATCGGTCAGATGGCGTTATGATCACAGGGCGACATGATTACAGCGCTTGGCATCGACCGACAGGCTTCCCCTCAGGCATTACATTTGGCAGCCGCTTTATCCAACTTGGCAACTTCCGTTTGGGCGATGCAGATGGTCATCACTTTAGCATCTCTCACAAGAATGGCATCACCATTCAGATCTTCCGCAGTGATGGCACCCTACACCCTGGCCCACGCCATGAGCTAAACCTTTGGAACACACGTACACCGGGGCCGCCTCAGGGTATCACTTTTGGAGATCGATTCATTCAGATCGGTTTGTGGCGATTGGGTGATGTGGATGGCGCTCATTTTGTCGTCACGCAGGTGGGTGGACACACGGCGCAGACTTATCGCAGCGACAACGCCTTGTTTCCAGGACCCAATGATCATTGGAACGGCGTCTATGACCGATATCCTGAATATCACTGTGGTTCCATTCAGTCCATTTTTGGACTGTGTGTTGGCATGGCTATTGGAGACCGCTTCATCCAGATAGGTGATTGGCGCCTCACTTTTCAATGTCCTCCAAAACTGGTCAAACACCCCGCGTTTTCCGCAGTGATGGCACTGTGTATGATGGCCCTCGCACTGACTTCAATGCATGGGACCGCGAGACCAAATACCTCCAATCACCTCAGGTTGCCTTTGGTGACCGCTTCATCCAGTTGGGGCAATGGCGTTTTGGTGCCATCGACGAGGATCATTTGAGCCTCTCACATCAGAATGGCGTGACCGTCATGCTTTACAAGTCAGATGGCCACTCCATTCTGAATCCGTCCGGGAACTTCTCCACTTGGAGCCGTCCGATTTCCTCAATTGGGGTGGGCTTTGGAGACCGCTTCTTGCAGGCACCACTTAGCCATAACCATGTTTGCTCAAAGCAGAAAGAACGGACAAGATATGCTCGAACAGTCTTGACAAGTAAATACAAGTAACATTAATAGCGACATTGAAGCCACATTTTTGGCAGGCTTCCTTGCTGCTGTAGAACCTGTAGTTGAAGTGCTGTAGCGCCTTGAACCTACTCGAAGCATTGTGCCAGCATCTTCACACCTTATGCTTGTGTCGGGCGCGCCAGCCATAGATACAAGGAGCCAAGATAGTTTTATTAAGCAATAACAAAGCAAAACATATATAATGCAAACAAAAAGGCCAAAAAAAAAGCAAGCAGAAAGCGCGGCCATCAACTTAAGTGGACAAGGACAAAGCATGGTAAAGCAATGGAAAAGCAAGGATCAAGCAAGGAAAAGGCATAGAAAATGAAGGCAACAAGGAAAACAAAGCAGAACAGTCCAAGCAATGGGAAACAACACCAAAGATTAATGAAGGGAGAGAACAAGGGCCAAGGGCAAAGCAAATCCATGGTTGGCCATGTATGGCTGCCATTGCCCAACACAACCTTATGCGTTTACTACATTTTACTCAATTCTATGTTTTTTTGTGCCACTATCGGAAGATGTTGTCTTGAAACTGTAATAGCCATAGCTAGAAATTTGCTTGGGATATTTCGTTTAACACCCAACTCTAAGGATAAATCGAGCTGGCAGACACCAAAGAAAGGACATTTGTTTTCGCTGCCAACCAAGGAAGGACGCCTTTCTGACACCATCAGCCGACACCCGAATTCCGGTTCTTCCCACAAGCAATGAACAGATTTCAAAGCGGGAAATGTGACTCAGATAAGTGTCGGCATTACACCCGACACCTATATAAGCGATGTGAAGCTTCGTAGCTGAAAGAGGACCAAGACATGCAAAGACTCCAGTTACACAGATCGAGGACATCACGACTGCCATTTTGCACTGCATACCTATAGTCCAAAGTTCATGTGAAGGAAGTCGTGAGGACTGGGTATACTTTGGTTGGATCATGCTTGATGAATCGACTGATCATGTATCCACTGCCTGGAAAGTAAAGGGGTCCGCACAAGCAGAAGCTTGTCCTCAACCAGGATGCGAACCTACTTGTTATCTTGTTAGACTTGCAAATGAGCAATAATGAATCGCAGTTCCCATAGGCTCACGATAGTAGAATAAATGCAGCTTTTAAATTGCAACTACTGTATGATGAATCTTATATATATATATACACATGGTTTTTGGGGCTCATTCAGCTGCATTTAGCTGGGCTCACAACTCCAAGAGACCAGGCTCACGCCTTCCCGCAGCTACACTGCAGAATTGCACAAAATTCTGGCGGCCTACTAGTCTTCAGTCTTTAGCGATCTTGAGACCCTGTTTTTGTTTTTGACCACTTCTGACCTCGCTTGAAGCATGCAGGTGGGGCACTTCCGCATTGGCGATGTGGACGGCAATCATCTTTCCGTATCTCATCTTGCAGGTCCGCAAGCGGAGGTGGGAGGACAGACAGACGGCTTTGGACATGACATTCAGTTGTAAGCCATTAAAGCTCACTGATCCCCTGCAGGTGTATCGTGATGACGGTGTGGTACTCCCTGGTCCTCGCACGGATTTGACCACATTTGGCCGACTTATGGAAGAGTGCAACCTTTTTTTGATTCTGCGGTCCGAGGTGGTGCCTAAATCACCTAAACCCATTGTACGAGATCACAACACCCTGCAGAAAAGGTGTGCTTTGCTCGGACTGCCAAGGTTCATTCATTAATTTTTCCTGCACAGCTACATTCTGCACCATTCACAAGCCAGGGAGGGAGAGCCTAGCACAGGAAGCAAGGTCAAATAGCACGCAAACTTAGAAGACTCGCAGAGCAGATGAGGAAGGACGAGTCACGAGAGGAAGCAAAATGAAAGATTCGCATTGGCCCCAATAACGTTCGTTTGTGCTCTCATGTGTGCGCTCTCGTGGGGAAGTCGGCTTACTCACCCTTGCACCTTCTACTTAACACTGTTTGGGGCCCTTGCCAGGATAAGAAATCCTCCCACGATCCGTTTCGCTAAAGTCTCTAATTACTTTGGAGGAGTTTCTACATACTTTGCGGACTTTTCTCTAGAATTTTCTTGACTGTTCCGCACTTCTCTAGAATCAATTATAGAAATTGCAGCCATTACAATTCGTTTTAGAAGCCCTGATGTCGCAAATGCAACTGTGCGCTCGCAGTACTTCAGTGGCAACCTCACACTACCACAAACACGGTTTGAAACCTTCCTTTTTGGTCCCCAATAAGTATTACATAAGTATACACATCTAGCCGAGCACTTCTGACCGGAGAGCCCGCACATCGCCGCAGTGGCAAAGCATTTCGCACACCTTCTTGCTTTGACACGTAGTCCCTGCATCTTCTCACACGATCTCACACGTATGTGGCCGAGCATCCTAGTCATGAGTCCAATTCTTCTCACCTGGAGACTAGCTTGACATCGCTATCACTGCCATTTTCACTCGAGCTACAAGGAAGGGCACTGCTCAAGAACTTCAGACTTCACCATCTAATTTCTGAGCATAGCAGTCACACAAAGTGAGAGGGTACATACGGCAGCCATTTGCAACAACAGATATGCGCAGACATCTATCTCCGACAAGACATCTACACGAGAGTCATTTACACGAGACATTTGCACATGTTCCCTGTGCATGTCAGAAGGATTCGTGCAACTTGGCCTTGAATTAGAAAGTTAGCCATCCTGCGGTCTAACGGCAGATGGACCTCTTTTAGATCAGGTTGGGGGCGCGCCTAGTGTGGCTGAGTTGAGTTCCAGTTGGCTTCACTTGTGCGCGGGCTGGATCAGGGTAGGGTTGCAGTTCCTGGATCCGATGGGATTGGATCGTGTTTGGATTCCGTGGTCAGTGGTCGACATATAAGGCTTCCTGACAAGAAGAAGGGCATCATAAGAAGATGGAAAGTTTGTTGGCCAAGACGGTCGGATCTTATTATTAGCGTCCGCGACTTCGAAAAGGTCTTGGCAGAAGCCTTGCTAGAGTTGGTGAGGCCACACCTTCAAAGAGCAAGAAACTTTAAGTTGGACAGGTGAAATCTTCATGGAGTTGTTTGGGCTTCAGATTCATGTGTGCTGCCATGCTGCCTGACAGGCAGAACTCATACCTCGACAAGGAAAGTCTTCGGATAACTTGTAAGCAGAAACTGGGTGAATTGCGTTCTGATTCTGCAGCTTTGCACTCAGCTTGCTTGCGTCATTTGACTGTCACCAATTTATTGACAAACAATCGGCCCCACCCCAGAGAAGCATGTCAGACACAGACAGGACCGCTGCGCGTTCGAAGGTGAAGAATGTGGAGGACGAGGCTGCGAGTGATCCTGAAAGCCCAGACCAGGACGGGCTGGGCGACTAAAATATGCCCAAAAAAATGATTGAATCGTCTTATGACTTCTAAGGTCTGATTACGAGCGGACTTTCATAGTGCTTATTTTAGACATATCTGAATATATATATATATGCTACCCCCTACCAATACACAGACCAACCATGAATGACACTACGAACCCAGACATACATACATACATACCTATAATTTTCTAGGTATGTACGTTTCCCCAGACATACATACATACATACATACCTTTAACATACATACATACCTATACTTTTCTAGGTATGTATGTTTCCCCAGGCATACATACATACCTATAATTTTCTAGGTTTTTCTAGGTATGCATGTTTCCCCAGACATACATACATACCTATAATGTTCTAGGTTTTTCTAGGTATGTATGTTTCCCCAGACATACATACATGCCTATAATTTTCTAGGTACGTATATTTCCCCAGACATACATACATACCTACAATTACATACCCATGCTTTC